TCGGTAGAGCATCAGACTTTTAATCTGAGGGTCGTGGGTTCGAGTCCCACGGGGGGCGTGATGCAACTTTGTTGTAGTGAGATTAATAATTGCTCTTTGCTATCGCGAAGAATCCACTTTTGCTTGAAAGCGAAACGGTGGGTAATTCGAACTGTGCTGAACGGTTATATCCGGCAAGACGGAAATGTTCGCTTACAGTCGAGTATGCAACTAAATTTTTTCAACAATGTTTCTCAGTAGCTTGTTCGGAAGACCGACGGTGTTTCCTCTGGAGATTGCAAGTGTGCCTCAGCAGATCGTGGCAAATCTTCTCTGCAGTAGTGCCCGATCGCTTTTTTCCCCATGAAATCAAATAAGGAAAGCTCTCCGAAATTCCGGCCTGTCTTCAAATGTCAACGCTGCTCAGGCTATAGGTATTCCCTGTTAGTAATTCTCTCATACGCCGAACGCAGCCATGCCAGGCCCATCGGTTGTGAGCGCCTATTCTATGTATGTGCGCCACCTTTTCGGAGGTGTGCTGTTTTCTGGCTAACGATGCGTGCTTTGGCTGAGCGAAATTTCGTGTTGTCATTGCGAGGAATTTAGCTAAGGAAGTAGGGGATGCATTGAAAACTGAAATGGCTGGGTGGAGGACGAGCGTTCAATAAGTGTGAAATTTTCTACGACTTAGCGGCAAAACTCATTTGTCACAGGCACAAATACAGTCAGAAAAGCAGAAAATCACCCTAAGTTGCAAAGATTAGCCGGAAAATGGTGAAGACACTGAAAAATGAAGAATGTGCCTAGAGATACCAAAGTATTCTGCGAAATTAGCACACGGTAAAAACCGAAATTCGTTGCTGGTTTTCAAATGAAAACGTAAAATCCGAAACAGTTATCTCATACAGAGATCACATCGTTTACTGCCATAACCGAGAGGTAGCTGATGCAGCATCATCTTTTGTAGGGAAGATTTAGCACCAGAAGTTTGCAAAAAAGCTATGTGATCTTTTTCAATCACAAACAGGTAAGGATTGAGGTTTATTCGATAAAGCAAAGCAGTAGTCATTATAAGCGAAGCAGCCTTTAAAAGCAATCAAATCGGATCGGATCGAATTAGATCGGATCAGGAACATTTGCCTGCAGCAAACAGTTCGGAGGCACTACTAAGTAGTTTGGGAGCAGCATTTTAGAAAGCTGTCTAAGAATTTGACGAAAAATAAAAAATAAATCAAAGCTTGTGCTCTAAATATTAGAGGTCAAAAAGCAGGTGGATAATCAAAAAAGTCCACGAAGCTTTGTTACAGCAAATGCAATGATTTGCGTATAGCTCGGCAGAGCAAATACAACTGCACCTGAGTTAAGATCTTAAGGGATCCTGGTTTCGGCTTCATGGACTACAGATGTTTCAAGATTCTGCTTTCACAGGTCCACTGTGCCAATTCAAATGCTTGATCTTTTAGCCCGCAGACCCCAGCAAACATGTCTGCCTATTAGGGCTATTTCATTCTGTTCTCTCTTGTAATTCAGCAGGAGTGTACTAAGATTGACTTGGAAATTCATAGAAATTAAATTTTTTGAAAAAAAATTGTTATACTGTAGTTTCAGAAATTCTTTGGTATGCAACAGCAGTTGTTAATTAGCTAAGTGAGATTTTTAAGAGGGAAATCCGTTTATTGTTGCCATTGTTGTGGCTCTCTAAATGATTTGTGTTGTAGCCGTTCTTGCTGCTTTTTGAGAAGTGGCTGAGGAAAGCTGTTGTTTTCTTACTTCTGAAGTTCCCCGTTCACCTTCCTGATCTCCGGACTTATTTCCGTAGGCTCGCTGCGAATCGCGTTCGGTGACATACCGTCGTATCTCATGCCTAAACAAGGCGATTTACAACTTCATCAGGACAAGCCTGTAGCTAATTCAGCAAATAGATATGAATCTAACAGAATTAAGAATGAAAACCTGAAATCGACAAGTTCTCCTGGGCTCAAATCACCGGAACTATCAGCGTCAGCTTGTTCGAAAAACTGCCGTGTTACTTCTGGATCCACATTGTATTTCAGGTCGATTGGCTCTTTCAACTCGTCGAACGTTACTAATTTATCCTTGTTTGTGTCGAAATCCTAGGGACGAAATACAATTACTGACCGGTGCAACAGCCGCCCGATGCGATCATCTGGTACCAGGGATATCCAGATTCGGAGGCAAGGGCAACGGGGCGCATTGCAAAAGCTGGTTATGCGTTTTTATGCGTTTTTGCTGTGCAGCGCTATAGCGCTTTTTGCTGGCTGTAGCAGCGCTATAGCAGCGTTATAGCGCTGCTATAGCGCTGCTACAGCCAGCA